GACGAAGCTCAATCCACTGAGCCACACTGGCCAGGCTGTAATTGGCTTTTAAATTACTAACCAAAATGTAACAATTTCCAAGTATTTAGCCCAATTTTAAACAAATTCATCTGCTATCTTTTTCATTTTTAATTGTGGTAAAATACACATAAAACTAATCATCTATTTTTAAGTGTAAAGTGGCATTAGATAAAGTCACATGTTGTGTGACCAACCACCAAAAATTTTCACCTTGCAAAACTGAAACTATACTCACTAAAGAACTCCCTATATCCTCCTCTCTCCAGCCCTCCCCTCTTCTGTTTCTATGAACCTGACTACTCTAAATATCTCAGTAAGTGAAATCATAGTATTTGTCTTTTTAGTAACTGGCTTATTTCACTGAGCAGAATGTCCTGCTGTCCCTTCATGTCCTTTGTGCCTGATGTCAGAGCCTGTGTCCAAGCTGTACTACATCCTCACAACAGTTTCTTTGTCCTCACATACTGAACTGTCTCACATCATTGTAAGTAGTTCCTCCAAAAAGCTTCAGGCATTTTCAGAGGCTGTAGGCATGTCTTCTCTCTCAAATACCAATGGCTTAAATCTTCACCAAACCCACAATTTTTATGGCAAAACTATATGAAAGAGAATAAAATTAATTATGAACCAATAAGTTTGTACCTTTTTGCTACATATTTTCAAATACCACTAAATCTTTCCAAATCACTCCTCCACAAATTCATTCCAATTACTCCTAATAATTGGCAAACTGATGTTTCCCCTTTCTGGTAGTCCCTACATATTTTCTGGATAATATTCATTTCATATTTGTTTTCAATGGACTCTCTTGCACATTTCCCAGCAAAATGCTAAGGTAGGGAAACAATCATTTAATCTTTAAAACATAAACTCTGAAGTGCTAAGTATACAATAAATGTTCCATTAAAATATATGACAAATTGGCCCAGCCGGTGTGGCTCAGTGGAGACTGAGAGGTCCTGGTTTGATTCGTGGTCAGGGCACATGCCAGGGCACACACCCAGGTTGCAGACTCGATCCACAGTGGGGGGACATGCAGGAGGCATGTTTCTCTCTCACATTGATGTTTCTATGTCTCTCTCTCCCTTTCTCTCTAAAAAATCAATAAACATATTTTTAAAATATGTATATGATAAATTGACTTTAATAAACCAAAAGAAAAAAATCAAACCACCAGAAAATAGTAACAACTACAAGGTTTATTGTTGAACATTTACATTTTACAAAAGTAATTAAGTATTGAGATGACTCAGGAAGCCTGTTTAAAATCAGTAACTTAAAGGTAAAACAATATTGCATTGCCCTGGCTGGTGTGGCTCAGTTGGTTGAACATCATCCTATGCACCAAACAGTTGCTGGTTCAATCCCTGGTCAGGGTACATGCCAGAGGCAGCTGACATGTTTCTCTCTTACACTGATGTTTTCTCTCACATCAATGTTTCTCTCTATGTTTCTCTCTCTCTCCATCTCCCTTCCTCTCTCTCTAAAATCAGTTAAATATATATATATATATATATATATATATATATATATCCCTAGCTAGTTTGGCTTGGTGGTTAGATTATCAACCAGTGGACTGAAGGGTCTTGGGTTCACTTCTCCATCAAGGAGACTGGACTGCAGACTGAATCCCCAACCCCAGTGTGGGTCATGCAGGAGGCAACCAATGGATGTGTGTGTGTGTCTCTTTCTCCCTCCTTTGCATTCTGTCTAAAAATCAATGAAACCCGTCCGGTGTGGCTCAGTGGATTGAGCGTCGTTCAATGAGGGGTCCCAGTTCAATTCCCAGTCAGGGTACATACCCAGGTTGCTGGCTCGATCCCACCTGGGGAGCCTGCAGGAGGCAGCTGATCAATGGTTCTCTCTCACTTCGATGTTTTTATCTCTCCCTTCCTCTCTCTCTTAAAAAAAAAAAAAATCAACAAAAACATATTTAAAAATCAATGGAAAAATATCTTCTGGTGAGGATTAACAAAAATAAAATAAAATGATATATATATAAAGGGTCCAGCTGGTGTGGCTCAGTCTTTGAGCGTCGACCCATGCACCAAGAGGTTGCCGGTTCGATTCCCAGACAGGACACATGCCCAAGCTGTGGGCCCAATCCCCAGTGGAGGGCATACAGGAGGCGGCCAATCAATGTTCTCTCTCATTGATGTTTCTATCTCTCTCTCCCTCTCACTTCCTCTCTCTCTAAAATCAATAAATTAAAAAAATTTTAGAAAGGTAAAACAACATTGTTCCACAGTTTTAAGATTCTATTAAGATTGACTCAGCTTGCCCTGGCCGGTTTGGCTCAGCAGCTGGAGCATTGGCCTGCGGACCAGAGTCCCAGGTTCAGTTCCCACTAGGGGCACACACCAAAAAAAAAAAAAAAAAATTGAATCAGCTTCAATTAAGTATGCACAGTACAGTTAAATTAAAAGTCAAAGGAAAAAGTGAAAAGAGAAAAGAAGACCTCAAGTCAAAAAAAAGGGCAAGAAAGAAGATTTAAAGAAGGCAAAAAAAAAATACCTGCCATCATGAAGCTTATATCCTCGTGGAGGAAACATAATAAGCCAGATAAATGAATGTATCACATGGCATGTCATAAGACGACAAGCATAAGGACAATGAGTGCAATGGAGATTTAAGGGAAGGATATGTCCACGGAGAAGGTAATCTTAAAAAAACATGAGGGATGCCCTGGCCAGTTTGGCTCAGCGGTTAGAGCGTCGACCTGCGGTCCTGAGAGACCCGGGTTCGGTTCCCGCTGAGGGCATGTACCTCGGTTGCAGTTTGTCCCCGGCCCTGGTCGGTCTTGCAGGTGGCAGCCACTTGATGTGTCCCTTTCACATCGATGTTTCTCTCTCTCTCTCTGTTCCTCTCTCTCCCTCCCACTCTACCTGAACAAAAAATGGGAAAATGTCCTCGAGTGAGGAAAAAAAAAAAAACAAACATGAGGGAGGTAAAGGACTGAACCATGTGGACATATAGGGAAAGAACATTCCAGACAAGAGAAAGGCAAATGCAAATATCCTGAGGCTGGGATGTGGTTGAAGAGGTCATAGTGGAACAAAGGGGAGAACACAAGATAGGAAATCAAAGGTAAAGCAGAACTTCATCATACAGAACCTTGGGGGACACTCTTAAAAGACTTGCCTCCTACTCTTAGTGAAATGAATAGTCCTTGGAAGATTTTTTGAAAGGAGGTGAATAATCCGATTTTTTTTTTTTTAAGGAGGATCACTTTAGATCAGTGGTTCTCAACCTTCCTAATGCTGTGACCCTTTAATACAGTTCCTCATGTTGTGGTGACCCCCAAACAAAATTATTTTTGTTGCTACTTCTTAACTGGAATTTTGCTACTGTTATGAATCGCCATCTGGAAATATGTGTTTTCCAATGGTCTTAGGTGACCCCTATGAAAGGATTGTTAGACCCCCAAAGGGGTCGCCACCCACAGGTTGAGAACTGCTGCTCTAGATGCTGTGATGCAAACAGACTGAAAGTAGAAAAAGCAGCCTTGGCCAGTGTGGCTCAGTTACTTGGGCATCCTCCTGTGCACCAGAAGGCTGCCAGTTCAATTTCCCCCTCAGGGCACATGCTGGGGCTGCAGGCTCAATCCCTGGTAGGGGGCATGCAGAAGGCAGCCAATCCATGTTGTCATCTCACATGGACGTTTCTCTTTCTCCTTCTCCCTCTCCCTCTCTAAAAATGAACAAAAATATCAGGAGTTCAGGGAAAAGAAAAGAGAAAAGAAAAGAAAAGAAAAGAAAAGAAAAGAAAAGAAAAGAAAAGAAAAGAAAAGAAAAGAGAAAAGAAAAAGTAGGTGGCTACTGCTCAACCAAATAAGAGATGACTGTAACTTGGATAAGTGAAGGTGGTTCAAAGGGTTTGGGAGCCTGGATAGATTTTGACTGCAGAGTCCAAATGACGTGCTGATACATTACTTGTGCAGTGCGGAAACGGCTGAGTCAAGGATGACTCCAAAGGCTGTAACCAGAACAAATATCTCAGGAGTGACAATGAATGCAAGTACAATAAACCTCCCTGTCAAATGCCAGACATTGTGGACTAGGATTAAAAAAAAAATCCCCCCCAGTGACTGAGCCTCGACCCATGCACCAAGAGGTCACTGGTTAGATTCCTGGTCAGGGCACATGCCCGGGTTGTGGGGCCAATGGCTGTTCTCTCTCATCAATGTCTCTATCTCTCTCCCTTCCTCTAAAATCAATGAAGTAAAAAAAAAAAAAAAAAAAAAAAAAAATCCCCAGCGAGATGCTGTTCGCAAAGGCATAAAGAAACGTTAAAACTAAAAAGATGAAACAAGTACAGACAAATATCAAACGACAGCCGCCATGGCTGTGTTGATGTCAGACAAAAGCGAAGTCCCTCTTAATCTCTGTCCTGCCTCTCTAGCAGTTGGGCACGGTAAACTCGGTCTCCGCCGCGGACCGCGGCTTCTCTGGAACGGGGCTGTCACACCCTCACCCCACCACAGTTCAGGACAGTCCCCCAGTTGGTAGGAAGCACTATGTGCAAATTTTAAATATTCTCCACCTTCACGTTATTTCTCCTCCATCCCAAATGTTATGATTTGGAAGGGCAAGGATGTCTCTCTAACGTGACGACCGTGACACGGTCGCCCACACCCACTTCACCGCTCAGTGTTTACAGCCAATCAGGCTGCGTGTGACGCGCAGGGCGGCGCTGCGCACCCGCCGGGGCCTCGGCCGGCGCCGCCCGGCCGCCCGGCGCACGAGCCGCCCGCACGCGCCCGCACACACACTGCGACGTTCGCGCACGCGCTCGCGAGCCTGCGCGGCCGGGTCGGTCACAGCCGCAGGGAGCAGGCAACGCCCGGCTCTGGCAACCTGGAAAGTTTCTGGGAAATTTACAGCAAAGTAAAGAAAGACCAAAAGCACTTCAAGGCAACCACCCGCACGGGCCACCAGGAACGCTCACACCGTCGGTTCCCCAGCTCCCCCGACGCTCACCTGCCCAGGCAGCCGGGTAGTCCGGGGAGAGCTGCTCGCAGGCGACCTGCCACAGCGCAGCTTCCGGCACTGGCCGCCTCGCTGCGAGACAGGAAGTCCCGCCTCCGTGGTGATTGACGGCCGCGGAGCTTAGCCCAAACTGTCTGCAAGACTTGGTAGCCCGAGACCTTGGGTCGGCCCTCCCGCTCCAGCCACTCGGCCGCCCCTTTGCTGCCGCCGCGATTCCTCGAGCCCGAAGAACTGAACAGCCCGCGGAACGCGTTCGTTCCTGTTAACTGGTTTTCACGGAAGCGAGTTGCAAGTCCTGTGTGAGGTTCAGCTCCGAGTTTCCTGAGTCTACCACGTGGGAAGCATGTGATGGTCACCAAGAATAGAGTGATTCCTGAAAAACGGGGGGCAGGGGGGATAACCAGGCAGTGAAAGTAAGACAGTAATGGAAAAAAGCAGATTCCATAGTCATATTACTTTATCAGTGCCAGTTTCTCAAATGTAAATCTCTCGATGGTTTTTGTCAGGATCGAATGAAGTAAATGTCTAGCAGCGGGTCCCGCACATGATCCAAGCACACAATGCCTATAGCGTTGCAACTGTTGGTGCAAATGAAAGTGGCCCTTAACCCAACCAAGGGGACACTGAGTAACCAACACCAGGGAGGTGGCTTTCATTTTGTTAAACGTGAGCACAATTTCAACATGTAGATACCAGTTGTGACTATGTAAAACTGCTTTTGTTGTTTTTTTTCTTTTCTTTATTGATTTTAGAGAGAGAGGGAGGAAGTGGGAGAGAGAGAGAGAAACAGCCATGAGAGAGAACATCCATTGACCACCTCCTTCATGTCCCCCACTAGGGATCGAACCCACAACCTGGGCATGTGCCCTGACCAGGAATCGAACCAGCGACCACTTGATGCATGAGTCTACGCTCAACCACGGAGCCACACTGGCTGGACTGCTTTTCTTGTTTTAGTGAAAGCACATAGACTGAAAAACCTGGTTCCCAGCCCAACTGGTGTGGCTCAGTGGATTGAGCATTGTCCAATGGACTGAGAGGTCCCAGTCTGATTCCCCATATGGGCACAGCTTGCAGGTAGGGGGCCTGCAGGGGGCAGCTCCTGATGTTTCTGTCTCTCTCCCTCTCTAAAAAAAAAAATCAATAAAAACTTATTTAAAAAAAAACAACCTTGGTCCCTGAAACTTTCATAAGCTCTGTTGTGTGAAATCCTATCCGTAAGAATGGATCATCCCATTTCTGCCTGGAGGAGCTGAGCTATGTGGATCATTCTGACACTTTACCAATCCATGTATAGAGCTTCAAATAAGGGGTTTTCAGATGTAACATCCCACATTTATTTTAACTTTATAGTTGTCAAGGATACAAGATCTTGTAGCCTGCTTCATAGCCTAGGCCTGAGCTTGCTTAATTCTTACCTACACTCCTCCACATCCTATGCTTTCCCTGTTTTGTTTTGGTTTTTAATACTCCCCAGTTCCTCTGGTGTGTGGCCGTCCTTGTTTCAGCAAGTTAATAACCCTAGCTTTGTTAGACTATAGGTTTGTCTGATGCACTTTATCAGATAGGTTTTATCACTGTTTATTTTGGCCAAGCCTCCTGCGCACATGAAGGTTGGACACCTTTAGCTCCATCTTAGGAGAAAACTGAAGCAGAATACAGGTAAATTATTTACTAATACTCATCTGTGCCCTGAAAATAGCTATGGGCTTTTTAACTTTAAAGTTTTTAGATCACCTTTCAGCACAGAATGACCACAGTTTTTTTTAAAAATTGTCAGCACCCACCAAATTCAGAACAGCTCCACAACAGTTATAGAAAACATGAATCTGACCCTGGCTGATTTGGCTCAGCAGTTAGAGCGTCGGCCAATGGACCAGGGAGTCCTGGGCTCGGTTCCTGCTAAGGGCACGAACCTCGGTTGCGGTTTGTCCCTGGCCCCAGTTGGGGTCGTGTTGGTGGCAGCTAGTCAATGTGTCTCTCTCACACGGATGTTTCTCTCTCTCTTCCTCTCTCTCTCCCTCCTGCTCTACCTGAAAATAAATGCAAAAATGTCCTCGGGTGAGGATAAAAAAAAAAAAAAGAAAACATGAATCTGCCTGGCCGGTGTGGCTCAGTGGTTGAGCATGCAAGACGTCACCAGTTCAATTTCTAGTCAGGGTACATGCCCATGTTGTGGGCCCAATCCTCAGAGGGAGGCATGCAACAGGCGGCCAATCGATGTTCTCTCTCATTGATACTTCTATCTCTCTGTCCTTCTCCCTTCCTCTCTCTCTCAAATCATTAAAGAAAAAAAAAATTTTTTTTAAATATGAATCCTCCCACCACCACTCACCACACCACCACCACCACTATATATATATATATATATATATATATATGAATCTTCCTTTTCTTTATAAAATATTTTCTTCTCTCCACTAAATTGTGGCAATACTTGCCCAGTTTTGCCCAGAGTGAAAAAATGATCCTTCTCTGCTGTCAGGCCTTTTCACATTGGTCCTGTGCACTCCTGCCTTAGCCATGTTATTTCCTTTTAGTGCATTCTCTGCTACATTTTTCCCTAAAAGAGATCTGTACACCCCGTCTCTCATTCCTTGCCTCCCTCTCACTTTAATCCTTTTCAGCTTGGTCTTCTGGCTTTTCTTTTCCTTCCAGTTCTTCCAAAATTACCTTCTCAAATGTCATCAGTGATTTCCAATCACCAAGGTGGTCTCCCAGTCCCCATATTACTTGATTTCTCTACAACATAGGTTGCTAGAGTTAATTACCCGACTTTGTTGGAAAAATCATATTGTAGATTTTTGTAGAGCCCTGGCTGGTTTGGCTCCGTGCTTACAGCATTGGCCCACGGACCAAAGTGTCTTGGGTTTGATTCTTAGTCAGGATACATGCCCGGCTTGCAGGCTAAATCCCCAGTCGGGGTCGTATGAGAGTCACATCGATTTCTCTTTCTCTCCCTCCCTGTCTTCCACTCTGTCTAAAAGTCAATGGAAAAATATCATCCAGTGAGGATTCACAACTACAACAACAAAAACTGTAGGAAAAAACTCAAACTTAACATATCAAATAATTGACCTGGCAGGTTTGGCTCAGTAGTTAGAGCGTCAGCCTGCGGACCAGAGTGTCCCGGGTTCGGTTCCTGCTAAGGGCATATACCTCGGTTGCAATTCGTCCCTGGCCTCAGTTGGGGTCATGTGGGTGGCAACCAGTCGATGTGTCTCTCTCACGTTGATGTTTCTCTCTCTCTCTTCCTTTCTCTCTCCCTCCCGCTCTATCTGAAGATAAAGCCAAAATGTCTTCAGGTGAGGATATAAAATAAATAAATAAAATAATTGCAATGCATGCCCAGCTGGTGTGGCTCAGCAGCTGAGCATCAACCCACGCACCAAGAGGTCACTGGGTCGATTCCTGCTCAGGGCACATGCCCAGATTCTGGGCCCAGTTCCCAGTTGGGGGCATGCAGGAGGCAGCCAATCAGTGTTCTCTAATCGATGTTCTCTTCCATTGATGTTTCTGTTTCTCTCTCTCTCCCTCTCTCTCTAAAAATCAATAAAGAAAACAATTAATAAAAAATAATAATAATTACAATGCAGTCCACTTTGAGTCTCATCATTTATGCATTAAATAAATATTTAGTGAGTGCTAGCTCTGTGCTAAACACTATTTTTAGGCACTGGAGATCTAGTAGTGAAAAAGAGATGCACCAATGGACACAGACAACAGTGTGTGGAAAGGCAAGAGGGATGGGAGCAGGGAGAAGAGGGTCAATAGGGGGAAAAAAGGGAACATCTGTAATACATTCAACAACAAAGATAAGTTAAAAAAAAGAGAGAGAGAGAGATGCAGTGTTTTAGTCCTAATCCAATTTATATCCTAAACATATGGGACAGATGATACATAAATAAAATCATTTCAAATTGTGCTAGATGTGCCCTGGACAGTTTGGCTCAGCAGTTAGAGCATCGGCCCGTGGTCCAGAGAGACCTGGGTTTGGTTCCCACTAAGGGCACATACCTTGGGTGCAGTTCGTCCCCAGCCCTGTTGGGTCGTGTGGGAGGCAGCCACTCGGTGTGTCCCTCTCTCTCTCTCTTTCTCTCTTGGCCTCCCACTCTATCTGAACAAAAATGGAAAATTGTCCTTGGTTGAGGATTAAAAACAAAAAAAACAAAACAAAACAAAAACAAATTGTGCTAGATGAAACAAAAGAAATGGATGGTCCTATGATAAGAAGGTACCAATTTAAAGTAGGAAGGCCAAGAAGTCGAGTAAGATGAAACTATTCACTAGGTTTTGCAAGATAAATGTCAGTGTTCTTGACAGAAGCTGTTTTGGTAGGTTGGTGGATTCAGAAGCCAGACTGCATGCAGTGAGTTGAAGTGGAAAGGAAGTTGAACGAGCATAGCTAAATTACTGTTCAAAGAGAGCTCTTTTAATTGCCATTTTCAATGAAATTTCTTTTCTCTATTTTGGACAGGGAGTTACAAATCACTTTGGAAATCAGATGAAAGCTATCAACATACATAAAATTTTGCATATAATTGCAGGAAGGTAATCAATCCGTTGAAGCCCATTAATCGGCTCCATAGGAGTCCACGGGCCACAGATTCAGAAGCCCTCTCTTTTCAGTTAGCTGGCCTCTTCTCCCTTTCTGGTTGCTCCCTCCTGACATTTGTCCTTGCCTACTGCTCTTCTTGTGCTACACTCTCTCAGTGACTACATCTGCTCTCTGGATTTTTGTCGTTGGGACCAGGACACCTATTTTATTATTAGGTGCTCTTTGGTTTTGTGGAGTAACTTAAAAGAAACTCTAGATCGCCCAGCTGGTGTGGCTCAGCGGTTGAGCATTGACCCATGGCACCAAGGGGTCGTTGGTTCAATTTACTAGTCAGGGCACATGCCCAGGTTGTAGGCCTAGTACCCAGTGGGGCGCATGCAGGAGGCAGCCAGTTGATGTTCGCTCATTGATGTTTCTGTCTCTCCCTCTCCCTTCCTCTCTCTCTAAAATCAATAAACTAAAAATATTTTTTTAAAAAGATGATCCAGATCAGT